TGGAGAATTTGTCCATTTTCCCCCTATATTAGTATATATTCTTCAATCAAGATTCCTTTTTAAACTCCTCTTGCTTGTTGAACACAGGTACAAGTTAATTAAGGAAGTTGGTGATGGAACATTTGGGAGAGTTTGGAGAGCTCTTAATAAGCAAACTGGTGAAGTTGTGAGTGTGGTTTACCTTGCTTGATGAAAGTACATTACCAATGCCTATGCAAATTCTGATTGCCTTTTTGGCCCATTCTATCTTCTGATGTAAAATGCAGGTTGCTATCAAGAAAATGAAGAAGAAATATTACTCTTGGGAGGAGTGTGTAAACCTGAGAGAAGTCAAAGTATGAAATCTTGCTGATTTTGAAGTTTCATTTGCAATATAATGTTATGTTCATCTATATGTAATTTTATAAATTTCTTTTTTGGCAGTCATTACGGAAAATGAATCATCCAAACATTGTCAAGCTAAAGGAAGTTATTCGAGAAAATGACATTCTCTACTTTGTTTTTGAGTACATGGTAGGTTGCAATTTCTTATGGCATTTTGTAAAGTTGATGTGAGGCTAATAATAACATGTGATCTATGTCATTTGGGGTAATGTAGGAATGCAATCTGTACCAACTCATGAAAGACAGGGAAAAGATGTTTTCTGAAAGTGAAGTTAGAAATTGGTGTTTTCAAGTTTTCCAAGGTCTTGCATACATGCACCAGCGTGGATACTTCCATCGTGACCTGAAGCCAGGTAATTAGTTATCACTTGTTTTGGTACAATATATGGTAATATTCAATGGAAAAACTTATTATCATTGACCAGCAAGCAAATTAATAAATTGAAGGATTAGTTCTCTCATTAATCATCCCTGATCGTTTTTTTTATTTTTTTTTTCTAAAGTTAATTTGATTTTTTAATCCATCAAATTTGCCTTGTTGTAGGACGTGGGTTGATAAGATTCCTGGTCTTATGCACGAAGACTATGATTTTGCTATAAATTTTCTTTCATTGTTTTTTATTTCCGACATGGCTTCGTTATTACTTGCAGAAAATTTGCTGGTCTCCAAGGATATCATAAAGATTGCTGATTTTGGTCTTGCACGTGAGATCAGTTCCCAACCACCCTACACTGAATATGTCTCCACACGGTGGTAGGTGTCTTGAATTTATAATTAATATATCTCGATCATTACATGTCCCAGGCATATAATAAATTGCATCACGGTCTTTTGTTAGGTATCGTGCACCTGAAGTGCTGCTTCAGTCTTACTTGTATACCTCAAAAGTTGGTGAGTGATTTAACATGGAATAATATCATTTGTGTAAATGATTAATCTGTTACTGAGAGTGTTGCTACTTGACTTGCACAAAACTATATTACTTATCTACATTTTCTGATTTTTAGACATGTGGGCAATGGGTGCAATAATGGCTGAACTGTTCACACTCCGTCCTCTTTTTCCGGGTGTCAAGTATGTATCGTCTTTCTGTTTCCTTGCTCCCTAACTTACCAATTGATGAGTTGTAGACTGTTTATCGTTGTTGATGAATAAAAAATCATAGTATCTTTCATTAGGCAATTACCAACTCTACTATTCTGGTCCTTAATATTAGTTACCTTCTAGAAGGCTTTTTGGTCCTAAGATATTTGAGCATTAATTATTTTCCTTCCACATGTGCCCTTAGTTTGTTGGCTCTGCAATTAAAAATAGTTTACTCGTTTGTTTTATTTCATGGGGAGATAAAATGTTGGGACTTGGGAGCATGCCTTATCCTTGGAAATACATTACGTTCTTGGACTTTAATGTATTTAAGAAGGGCAATGTTGGAAGCTATTGGAATTTTTTTTAACAAATTTAAGGATGTAACCTACTTTAATATATTTGCTTAATATATGTCAGGTAATTAAAAATGACATGTTAAAAACCAGAGGGAGAGTGCCACTTGGGGCTTGGGACTGGATGCAAATTTTTGTCAATAATTATTTTACTGAATTAATTGGAATTTTTCCTTTTGTTTATTGGCGGTTACATATTCACACATGACCCTCCTACAAGTTCGTGGTATATATGAATTTCAAGCAACTTGTTTCATGACTGGGTTTTGGGAATGAACATTTTCTTTCATGGCTGTGCTTGCAGTGAGGCAGATGAGATCCACAAAATATGTGGTGTGATAGGTAGTCCAACCAATGAATCCTGGGCTGATGGACTTAAACTGGCAAGGGATATTAACTATCAGTTCCCACAGGTTAGCTTTCCCTTATTTGGGCAGCTAGGAATTTGGATCTCTGTTGAATTTTAAATCATGTTTAGTGCTACTTGTCTATACTTGGGAGTTGAATTTTTTTGTTGGATGTTTTCTACTGCCATTTTATATCTTTGGATAAGAAGTGACTTTCACTAAATAGCGAAAATTGAAAATTTCCAGCTTCCTGGTGTACATCTTTCTACGCTGGTCCCATCTGTTAGTGTTGATGCAATCAGCCTTATTACTGTAAGTAGCTTTTCCCATTGTTGTTCCAGCCTTGTCCTCTACTTTCATGCTAATAGATTGCACTTTTTCTCCTTTCTCTGCATTTGCTACCCATGTAGTCGCTTTGTTCATGGGATCCTTGCAAGCGGCCAACAGCGGCAGAGGCCCTCCAACATCCTTTCTTTCAGGTTCTCCATGAACTATTTTTCTAGACGGCATTTATAATTATAATGTCTTCCCATATACCAATGGAAATATGTTATGCAGCTTTTTTTTGCAAGTTTATTTAATTCATAGATTTTTGTTTGTTGTAGAGTTGCTTTTACATTCCTCCATCCCTCCGCACCAAAGCAGTAGCTCGGACGCCTCCATCTGGTTTGTGTTTTTATTTTGGTTCGGTAAATAATTCTAATGGTGTAATTCTGGGTATGCTAATAATCTCTGTTGTTGCAGCTGGAACAAGGGGATCACTGGACCGGCAAGGGGCTAAGAGATATTCTTGCACTTTGTCTAATTCTAAGCTCACCAATAACCATTCCTCCCCAAAATTACATCCATCATTAGCTACAGGTGGTCTGTTTTGTTTTAAGCTAAGATGCTTGTATTTTGCCTAGATCACTGCTCGTGTGTTTGGTTGGAGGGAGGGGGAGAGGGATACTGCTCCCCTCCCCTCACTTCATCCCCATTAAAATCCTTCTCTTCCCTTCCGCTCTGTTAGGCTTGTTGAGTGGGTGCCTTGTGGTCCTGTATGCGTTGCGTGCAAAGTTCTCATGTTCTGAATGTATGTTGTTACAGGTGTACATCGCAAGCTGGATATGGTAAATGAGGTCAGTTGTTTTTTCCCCCGCTTTCTGTGTGGACCAGTAAATGTTTGTCCACCTTGTTGACAATTTCCCTGTTCACCCGTCTATTCTCTTGTAGGATGGAAATAAGACTGACAAGTCCTCAAAGGCTACCAAACAACCAAAATATCGACCACCAGGAAAGGACAGCCCAAGTAAGCCTGCTCTGCTAATATCCATTCAACTCAGGTATTTTGGTTTCAGCGTAACTAAAAGGGATGTTGATGTTGGTTGACAGCTTCTATGAACAAGGGAAGGACTAGTACTGTACGTGGGGTTTCAGAAACGGCTGACAAATTGGCTAATATGGCAGTTAGTGCTCGAAGACAATCAATGGGTGCACCTCCAATGAAAGCCGGAGGGCATTGGATTACTGAATCTCGAAACTTCCTGCTGAGGCCGGCCCAAGAGATTCCAGCTGCAAGAGCTTACTCAAGAAAAGTTGCTGGATGATATGGAACATTGATTGCAAGTATCATCGTCATGCTATGGCCCTGAGCTTCGACTCTGCTGTTGCCTTTTTAACCTCTTGGTATTTTCCGAATAAAGCTTTTTCATTCCTACGTTTGTATTCTTCTTTCCTACACGCTGGTGTCATTCAAAATGCTCACCTTTTCTTGCCTTTCTATCGAGGTGGGATGTAATGTGAGATTAGTTTTCCGTCAATTTCCGCACTCATCGTTCCTATTTTAGAATTTTTCATGTCTGGTTGCGTTTTACTTAAAACTGATTTGATTTCTTTTATAAACGAATGGCTTTTCCAGCACTTGTGAGACTGCTAGTTTTCTGTGACTTTTAAATTGTAAATAAACTGATAATTTAATCTATTTGTGTGACAATTTAATCTATTCTTTTCTTTTGAAGTATTTCCAAGTCGTTTATCTGGCTTATAAGTTGTACTTACTGAGCTTACACTGCTGCAATTTTTTGAAGCTTCCACTAGCATCCTCTAATTATAGTATTCTTTTGGAAGTTTTTCTTTCGTATTTAATCGTAGCTTTGATATGGGAAAAAAACTTTTACTCGCAGCAAGTTGCTTTGATATTGAAAGTAAATTCTGGCCCAAAAAAGAGATATGGAGATTAAAGAGAAACCGAGTTTTTTATACCAACGGTTGAATCGTTAACCGGTGAGCTTATTAGAGGGGCATGAGGAGAGTCGATGGTGTGATTTACGAAAGAAATTACATTTTTTAACATTATGTATTTGATATGTTTGTTTTTAATTAAATTAAGATATATGACTTTTTTTATAACATTTATTTTATAATAAATTTTTGTTATTAATTTTATTAATGTATTAAAATTTACTTGTCATAATTTAATTAGATATAAACATATTAAATATATAAAATTAAATATACAAGTCTTACCTTTAAAGAAATAAAGAAATTAAGACAATAATAAAAAATGTGAAGGAAAGATACGTGGAGGAGAGGTAATTTACAGATACGTTAAGATGAGATAATTTAATTCATAAGATCAAAACTTGATGATTCTCACATGTCCGAGAGTTTTCTGATGAAAAAAATGATACCTAAATAAATGTGCAACAGATTATTATATTAAAATAAAGATTTTTCTTTTTTTATTATTCATTCTACTCTCATCACTTCTAGCAATCAAATAGCATCTTAATATCATACCGTTTTAGTTATGGTAAAGAGGATGTGATGCTTTAACTTAAAATGCGAACATTGAAACTCTGGTAAGGAAAGAGATTGAGTGATGTATGTGATAAAGTATATTATATACACAGCCAACAGTCTGAGGCACAGTTCTGGATGAGGTAAATTTATGAACAAGATGGTAATAATTAATTGCAAGAGCCACTATACTTGATAAAACGATCCCAGTAGGCCCAGTGGAATCATTACAAGAGATTATCCATCATTTGCGACATGGTCAGTCAATACGGTGGAAACTCAATGTTACGTGAAGACTCGCTCCATTGTCTGGAGTCGTATCATTACAGTCTGGAAATCGGAAAACAAAATTGGGGATCGCAACTTTTAGGTAGGCTTCAAAGGTATTGAGCTTGTATTCTTTCCCTGTTCTCCTCCCACCAATTCTTGGCATGTACCTCCCCGAATCTTTCGCGGCTTCACACGAATTGATCATAAAATGTTACCAGCTCATAATAGATCTTTCGAGTATAATGAAATAAAATGTGAGGAAAATATTTGAGATATAAGGTGGAGGAAGAATTACCTGAATCTGACACGTCGAAGCTCCCTTGAGCCGTCGAGTAACTGTCGGATAGTAATGTACACTCCAGGCTCATCTTGCTCTACCCATTCTGTCTCCATGTCACTGCCATTGCTAACAGAAGGTTCATCTCTAGAAGAGGTGGTTGTCCTCGATGCTTCAAATGAAGACCCTCCGTGGAATTGGGGTCCTCCACCTTGATCCGAAGATTCAGATGGAAAGTACCCTCTGTTTCCTGGGGTTTTAGGATAGTTCCTTGGCGTCCATTCTTTGTTTAATGATGACCCCATGGGGCTGTCTCTTGCAGATCCCAGTCTCGAGTATGAAGAATCTCTTTGCTGTTTAAAGAGGACCGTGTTACCACAAATATCTCAGAAAATCTGTTATCCAACATCATGTTTTGGAGTGGAATCTTGAAACATAACGCCGAATGCAACGTGTTAGTTTACCTCATCTTCAGATCTTGTAGGAGTGTTGATTTGTCGATTGAATCTCTGGACGTTATAGAGCTCCATGATTCGATCGTAATTCTCACCCCACCACCTTTGAGCTTGCCATTTGTCGAACATCTCTCGGCTGCAAATTCAAGCGCAAACTTTTTTTCAACTTTTGCTTCAACATCATACTTTCAATAACTACATTATGATACTTTTTGAATAAGATCAAGGCCTCGTTGGTATACATTCTTCAAAAATGGAACTGGATGAAAGTATATATTTCCAGTTTTTCTCTAGATCCTACCAAGAAATTAACACATTACAAATAAGGTAGTGTCAAGAGACATCCATCAAAAGGTTCGGCAAATGTCAGCTTAAAAAAAGGATTTAAATTCTCAACTTAAAGCAATTAAATGCATAATATTCATAGAAAGAGTGGAAAAGTAAGGGTGCAAGAAACACGCTTTCGCTCTTTAGTAACAATTTTTTTCTTTTATAATCAAATTACAAGGATTTAAACCTAAATTTGTACCTATACTACCTCTCCGCATTACCTAAGCTAGCATGAGGAAGCTAAAATAATCTGTTTTAAGTGCAAAATGCTTGGGGCATTAATCCAGAGTTACAATCACAAACAAGCAATCTTCGCATTAACCGCATAAGAAGACGACTCAATGAACAGGGAGTTCAGCAGATGAACATCTTTATAGCATTATAATTTTGATGGCTTAGTTCGTAAATCAGTGAGTGAAAACTAAGGCCGACCCTACATGAAATAGTTATAGTTACCTGAAGCGAATTCTTTTGAGATCATTTCCCCCATTTGGAAGAGACACAAATGTAATGTGAACCCCTGGCTCCACCTGTGCCATCCACTCCTTGGGCTCATCCTCTTTCTCCAGCACTACATCACAGACAGAAGCCGATTCGCGTCCTTTTGGGGTTCGGCCGCCACCAAATGACCCAGTAAATCTCGGGTCCGATCTACCAGCCGGATAATGGGAGCCGATAAAGTCCCATGCAGGGGTTGAACTTGAGCTTGCCCCTCCAATATAAGGGTATGGAACTCCTTCAGAGATGGTATCAAAATCTGGATAAGGTCTCTGCTCTTTCTTATGACTACTGGATCCTGTGCACGGTTTGCATTGCTTATAGGCACCTGAAAACTTCAGTGCCATATCCTTTATCTGCAAGTACATAATTGACACAGTTGTTATGCATTAGAAGCTCTGATCATGTAAAAAAGAACAGAACAAAAGATAGTATTGAACATTAAGCAAAATGGGTGCAAGTCACTCCGTTCAACACAGACACATGATATACGTATATTATCGAAGCATGTCCAACGTATACATAATTACAGATGAAAAGGCATTGTAATAGCATTATCTTAGAACAAAACTTATCTAAGTTTATACGTGAGATAGGAGAAACATGACATGATGTTACAAGACAAATAGAGATATTTGTTTTCAAGGGCCATACCCTTTTTTCCTTTTTTTTTTTTTTTTTTTTGCAATACATAAGAGAGATTTAACATAGGACCGCTAGACCTTGCTCTATTCTTGTCATTTGCCGCATTTTATTACCGTTCATTTGGTCTAAACACCATTTCGTGCCCACTTTTAAGTGCTGAAAGCATTCCATTCTTAGGGTGATTGGGAGTACAGGATAGCCATATAAATCTTGTGTCTAAGTAAATTTTGACCATTGACTCTCATAATTACTTTTATTGTGGAGACTGTCTAATAATCTTTTCCTATATCCTACTAAGATGTTAAAGGCTTCTAAAAAAGAATGAGCATATGCAGCAAACGAAAAGAACGAGGTGAACAGTTTTTTCTACTTGCCATCAAATTAAAATGAGACAAACCATGCAACTAAATTCTCCCTAATAGAAGCACCATGTTGATTTCGAATTTGACGAAAACAAGGATAATTAAAAAAATAAAAAAGGAAAGGAAAGAAAAGGAGAAACTGAGAACGGAATAAGCTTAATAATTGCTCAGAGATGTCCTCCTCGAATGACAACAGAACATAACAGCAGAGAAGTGCGTGATAAATGGAACACAATGAGGAGTGGGGAAACCAAATCTGGAACTTCTGAAAAATGTATTAAAAAGTAAATCTGGACGAAACCGGATGAAGTCAGAGCCTCAGAGGTTTCAAGCTAGGTCATTTTCAAAGCATCATGCAATACCTTTACAGCTGGACTGCTGAAGGATAGAAGCAGAAGTGGATGACAACATCCCTGGATGTCAAGTCTATTATAAGAATCTCATAAATTCGCTGATATAAAGTTACAAACTAAGCACTCCGATAAAGGCCATTCTTCATTTTAGGACCCTTCGCTAATTTCGGTCCGATAGTTACTTGTCAATATTTCTATACATTTCAGCGACCTTTGATATCTTGCAGTTGGGATAAGGATGTAGAAGTTCCTCCATAGAGGCCTCGACTTTGATATTGCAAACTAGATGTCTTACCTCGCTAATAGCCTTGTGTCGAGCTTATTACTGCACCCAACATTGATTAAGGTAATTAATACGCAGGTGTCAGAGGAAGAGATGCCGATGTTTAGTGGTCTAAAAATTGTGCACTAAAATACGGTAAAAAAATCGATAAAAGAGATTATGTCGAAAACATTTTTCGTTACAAAACAATCCAAGGATGTCACTGATGTAAATTTCTCTCTTTTTCATTAACGTACAAGGCCAAACTCCTGAAAAAACAATCGGTCGACAAGAATTCAAGGACGCCACAGGTGATATGACTATATGGCAGGCCCTTCTGAGCCAGGCATGATTTCTCAACATTAATCCAGCTGTTGAATATGGAAGATGTTGTCACCGTTGTTTCTCCATTGCATTTAAGAAGATTTGACCAAGACATGCTATTCAAATGCATTTATGAGAAAGAAAGGAGAGGAAAAGATAAGTTCAGGATATAAGTATATAGTAGTACAACCTAGTAGTAAAGTAATTGTTAATAAATATATTTGCCTGTTGTGAAAATTAGGCACGTTTGGCAGTAAAAAGATACTGGAAATTATAATTATAATAATCCTGAACCCACCAATATCTTGAAATTCTGCCTAAATCTTAAAACTGATTCGATGCAATTTGCTCTTTCAGGCCCAGTTGTAAATGGCTTATAAGACAAAGAATAAGCCACTAGACGGGGCTGATTAATTCATGATGGTCACGTCAGGTCACAGCACCTTGGCACCACATGCTCATAAATAAACCGATATACATAGACATATAGATAGGAGTGGACCATCCATCAAGAGCAGCAAATGGGACCAAAATAGAATTGCGTCATTCCTCCAAAACAAAAACAATGTTTGCCTAAATACGAGTGTATCCGTGTGGTAGATTAATTTAGGCCGTAATAGGTCATACGTGGACGAAAAAGATTCAAGGGTGGTCCCCACCATGTCAGGACCCTAATGGCCTAATGGGGTTATGATCTTGTTTGTTTTCACCAAGATGGAAAAAGAAGCTACAAAAGCAAAGATCGTAGCCGAAGGGGCAAAAAAAGAGAAGGTGGGATTAAGAACCTGCGTCGTCAGGCTTTTGACGGCTTCTTTTGTACTCGGCGTGCCACTCTCACGGGTTCCTCCTCCAACTTCCCTCTCCTCCGCCAATTGCTTTGTACACGCTATGCATGTAAACATCTTACTTTTACAACCTTTTTTCTTCTTCCTGCACTAAAACAAGCATTTATGGTTCATTATAAGGGTCTAAAGAATTACTATATTCTCTGATAAAAAAATGGGGGAGTGGCACTTTGCAGTGCCGTAGCATTAGCTTTGAATGGGCTATAGAACAATTTGTACATCCTATTCATTCAGGACAGAATTGATAGGTGGAGGCAGTCATTTTCATTGAATAAAACAGTGGCAGGTAATACCTATTTGCGGTAAGTAATGGCAATAGTTAGGCCGGTAAAGAAAGCAGCGAAATAAAGAACTTACAACACAGATACAAGAAGTTAGAATGCAACTAGAAAGAAAGTATAGTTCCGATCTATTATCTTCACGGGAAATAAAATGGTCCCAGCAAAAGAGAAAAAGGAAAAGCAATCTTCTATGAGCTTGGGATCAGAGTAGAGCGAAAGCCTTCTCCAAAACCCAAATAAGGAAAACATGTCAACAATCAAAAGTAGAGAGAAACAATACAGGAGAAGGAGTCTTCAACGTGGTCCTTCCGCCAAGCACACTGTGGCTATGTGCATTTACTTAGTAGAAAACTTGCTTTGTCTCTGCAATCGTGAATTTCTCCAGTGCAGATTTAAAATTATGCACGATATGAAATCATTCCTACACCGATTTGCTTTTTATGTGATATAATAATTTGCTTAAATTGAAATTAAAAACTGAAGTGTGCCCGAGCATTGGTTCTGACACGTCCCTTGTGCTCTCCCCAAAATCCCAGTAAAATACACTAATCTATGCCCCTCATTCTCTCTTTATCTTTTGTGTAAATCACATCAATCCTCGGTCACCGAGATGCCCAAAAGCGACCCACTGAGTCACTGACCTTGAGAGAGAAACTGTGTGGCTTATTTGATTAATTTCTTTTTCACTTATTTTTTTTAAAAGGAGCTACTACTAGTTACATTTTTGTGTTTTTGGGATTCAGAAAAATCAAAATCCGTTTGGGATCGGAATCAAAGTTTGTCGGAGGATGGAAGCGGTGTGAGATGAGGCTAAGAAACATGCAAATTAGAATGTGGAAGAGGGAAGAACTTCCACACTGCTATTTGCTTTACTGAAAAGCGGGATTTAATACTGCCATTATTATTCGAAAACGACTTACCAAGGAAACCTCAACTGCTTCTCGTTCTTTGTCCCTCTGAGACTCAGCACAGCCACACGCAGAGTCAAGTAAATGTTTCGGTCTTCTGGTTTCAGATTGCTTTTTCTTCCGATGCTTCAACCTCAAAATCTACAGCACACGTTCACCTTTTGCCATTGCCATCGTCCTTTAAAGCCACCAGCAAAGGAGCTCTGTATCATTAAATTAAATTAAAGTAAAAAACAAAAAACAAAGATGAGAGAGGGAGGGAGAACAAGCGTTATCATCAATTGAAGTAAATGAGAAATCACTTTAAATGTAATCAAATCGCTTAGGATCTGAAACGCATTTGAATTAATGATGATGCAAACTAATCATAGAAATAAAGATTAAAGGAAAAGGAAAAGACAAATGAGATTTAAAAGCTAAACCTGCCTTTTATGAACTGCAATGGCAGTAAACAGCTCCAGAGACACTAAACAAATGGCGGTATGAGTTTGTGAATTTAACTTAGCCTTTTTTTACAGCTACAAAGCTAGCTTTACAGAGCAGAACCGTCCAAAACTAAATCACTACACTGACCTAACAAGTGCGTTAACGATCAAAATCCCCCAACGTCGCTGATGAAATTCCTTCATAGATAAAATGACAGAAGCTTCCACGTGGAGAACCTTAGCTACCAACTACATACAAAAAAGCCGAGCTCTACCGAGAAATTCTAAAAGAAACAGAATGATTCATCAAGAAAATGTGCAAATTACAAAGTGGGATACGATAGTAGCGGTTTGATGCAGGTAACGGACGAAGAACCAAGGAAAAAGAGACGATGGGAGGGAAGAATGAAGGTATTTATATGGGAAGGAGTTAACGGCGTTAGGTCGGGGACGTTAAGAGACGGAAAAGGAGTATTGTCCGTGTGCGAGAAACCGTTAAGAGTGAGGAGCGAGAACAAATGGTCGAGGGCCGAGAGGACATTTGGGTCCACATGTCTAGCTCGATGCGTCAGAGGGGGATCTCTAACGTGCGTATTAAGTAGCCTACGTGGATGAAAGTGATTGGCTTTCATGTTACAGGCTGGTACAGGTTAAGAACCATCCCGTCAAGCATATGCTCTCTTGTCATCATGTTATCCGTCCATTCGGAATTTAAAAATACAGACACACTATATAGGAGGCTAGGATTATTCTTTGATTTCTTTCATAAACAAAGAAAATATATTATTAATCAGATTCAAAAAACTAAAATGCTTAATTCCAATTTATTGAGATTGGTGAAACTGTGAAGAATGGTATTCTTCGGGGAAGTTTGGTTGGTACAGGGAAGAACCATAAGGCTAAAAAAAAATATTTCTTTTAAGATTATTTTTATATGACTATCAAACTATATTATATTCGTATGGTTTTGGATCTAATTAAAAATAACTATTATAGAAATCTTTTTTACCTTTACACAAATTCAAATTTAAAATTTTATGTTTAAGTTTTTAAAAACTCAAGATTTTTTATGTTTTTTGTCTTAACATAAAACAATGAACAAGACATCATATTTATTAAAGGAAAAATTATCGTAAAGTCCTCTATGAGTATTTTAACTACTCAAAAGTCCCACCCAGTGTATAAATGGTTGTGTGGTCCCTTAAAACTTTGTTGTACATGAGATTTTTTGTGAATTGATCAAAATGTTCGTGATGCTCCCTAATTCCTTTGACCCTCTCTTCGATTCCATTCCTCCTCCTCCTTTTGAAAGCTTCCGTATCCCGCTAATGAAGATGAAACACAAGAAGTAAGGCTTCAAGCTCTAGCCTCAAGAACTCTCATTGTCAACACTATCACCCTGCTACCCAAAAACCATATCGCAACAATATTCATGGAGCAGATCATGACCCTAGAGAGGACAAACTTGTAGTGACCTCACAAATAGTGAGGGGTGGACATGACCTTAGAGAGGATGCGCGAGATTGACAACATGCATGAGCCAAGTGAGTGATGGCATTTTGGGCAATTCACCAAAAAAAAAAATCGTATTCACAGCCCAATCCCAAGGGACTTCATAGTTATTTGTGCATTTAGTAGGACTCTCTTTCGCCACATGTCCGAGGCCACTTGGGATAGTTAGAATACTTACATGGGACTTTAGAGTAATTTTTCATTTATTGAATGGTCTTTAATTAAAAAAAATTCAAGATTTGAACTTTTATTCGAGAAGATGACTATAAAGCTCAATCAAAATATATAAATAATAATTAAGTCTCTCACAATATTATGATTCTTTTCAAGTTTTTAGATATATTTCTGACATTAATGAGTTTAGCTTAAATAATTAAATTTTTTCTTATTTAAAATAAAACATAACGGATCTATCTCCATTTTTCCTATCACAACTTATATTATATGAATTGTAAAGAATAAACAATAAATCATAACTTCCCACATAAAATTTATTTTATGATTGATAAACAAGTTCTTAAAATAATAATTCATAATCACAACTCTCATTTAAGTAATTACAAAATTTTGTGAATTATAAAAATTGAATAAGAAATCACAACTTTTAATGTGAATTTTCTTTTAAAATAATCGATCATAACTTTTGTTTTAGTAACCACAACTCTTATTACATGAATCAGAATAATTGAATAAAAAATTATAATTTCTCACGTGAAAATTCTTTTATCATTGAAACTCAAGTTCTAAAAATAATCAGTTATAACTTGTATTTAAGTAATTATAATTTTTATTCTGTGAATCATAATTGAATAAGAAATCATAACTTTCAATGTAAATCATTAATGTCATAAAGGTATTAAGAGACGTCAAAAAAATTATGACATTTTAAAGAAACCTGATTGTCATTTATACAGTCAGTGAGATTTAATTGTCATTTTTTCTTTTCAATTTTTTTTTTGGGCCTGATGTAAATTTGTAATTTGCTGCGCATCTCTCAAAATTTTCGTGATATGCATATAAGATAACTTATCTGTAAAATATAAAGTATATATTAGATTGCACAATTCATAAATTACGAACAATGCAGCTCGTTTTATAATGTACACTTGATGTAATTGGAAAAGATGTCTAACAGAAAATTAGAAAGTCACATGTTCTATGCAGTACATAAGAAAGTGCACATCTAAACTATAAAGTTAGTTACAGAGTCATATTATTTATCATTTATCAATCATAAATATCATTACTCGTTTAATTATTAAACTTCATAAATATGCGTTTGAAAGCCCGTTGATATTGAAATAACGTGAAAGCATGGATGAAGTTTTAAAATATATCCTAAAACTCGTGTCAAGGTCTCTCTCTCTCTCTCTCTCTCTCTCTCTCTCTCTCACACAATTATATTCATGAACAGAGGAGTAGGAAAAGAGAGTGGTTTATGTTACTTGCATGCTAAGGGTTAATTACAACTTTAATATTATGATTGCCTATGCACGAAGCTAGCCAAATGAAGCTCCCTTGCAGAACTTACTTTAACCTTCATGTGTTTGATTATGATTAAAGAATGAATAAAATATCATATTATTCTAAACTTGACGAGTTACTATGCACTTTTGATATCATTGTCTTTTTCATCAGATTTGTTCATTCTCTTCCTCGGTTACTCAACATGTTTCCTTTTTCTATTTGGAGTCTACTGCTGTTTAACCGCACACGCGCCTAGCTTCGCACTTCAAAATCACACAGTTCACTCCCCCACATCATGATATTTAATTATAGGATTTTAAAAAATAACATGATTAATATTCTAATTATCACTTTGTAAAATTTTATGTTCGTGAACTTGGTTCAATTTTTGTATTATTCATAATATTGAAAATCAAGCTGATGCAGTTGGTTGGACCGAAAAATCGT